AAAGTCACCCAGTCTAGAGATAAAATCTCCTTCTGCTTATTAAAAGTAGGCTGTAGTATCTGTTCTGTAAGTAGTCTGTACAGGTATTAAGGGTTTTTATGTATGTAGTTTAAGAGTTCAGTGCAAACCATACTGTTGGGGCAAGATCAGCCACATCAATATGGAAATATATCCAAGAAAGCAGAATCTGAAGAGGGCCGTCTTTATTGTTTTATATTTTATCTATAATACCAATGTGTAGGGTAGTAACAGATACTATTTTTAGAGTCTATACTTAAGACTAGCTCTTAAAATTTTGCTTGAGTTTGAGCACTGTCTCATATTGCAACAGTTTACTAAATGATTTTTTTTACATATATTTTTTACTTTATATGCTTGAATTTGTAATTCTTTGAAGACTGCTGTCAAAGAATTTTCCTTCCAAATGAATTGGATGAGTGACCAAGCAGGTGCCTTCAATGTAAGCATCAGGGATGTAGTTCAAGGAATGTACTTTGAGAGTAGTATAGCCAGCATTGTTAGCCTTGGCTACCCATCACATTTATCTCTGTTGCAGCGTATTCTGGTAAATAATAAAGGCTGTTCTTTAAAGCATCCTCATCTGCATTTTAACAGGCTGTGCAGGCACTTGATGAAGCTAATACTTTGTTGCTATCTTTTATGTGGTCAATTCAAAAGTGTCATTTTTATCTTGGAAGGTAAGAAATTACTGTAGTTAAAGGTAACTGGTAAAGTTAAGATTAATTAAAGATAAAGTTAAGATAACTGGAAAAAAAAAAGTTCAGTAGGTTTTTTTTGTACCTTTTTTTTTTTTTGTACCTCAAAGAATTCTTTATGCATATAGTCACAGCTCTCTATTGTACAGGAGCTGCAATAGCTGGATAATGAAAAAAGCTGCTTTCTGGGATGGAATTGCACCTGAGCCAGAACCTGCTGTGATGGGAGGTCCATTGCAGGGATCCTGATGGCCTTTACTTACCAGGCAGCTCCAGTTCAGCTGGCCTTACTAGCTATGGCTCAACATTGGCCATGTCTCCATGTTGGACCTTGCCTTCAGCTCTGATACCAATTACACTTCTGGTAGAAGAAACATGCTGTTGGGAGAGCCTGTCTGATTCCAGTCATATCCAGTGGAGCTGAGCATGGTGCAGTCTCCATGAGAGAACAAAATTGATCTGGAAAGCAGAACAGCTGCATTTATACAGCACTGAGCCTGAGCTAATGCCAGTCACAGGTGGTGGTGTGTTTGAGATGTCCTTCATTTGTGGGCTCTTTACCTGAACTGCAAGTAATGGAACAGTGACTGTGTGTGGTTTCTCTGCTTTCCTTAGTATATGGTCAGTCAGGTTTTATCTCTGTGAGATAAACTATTGATGGCCAGCAACCTGCATAACTCTGCTAGCTTTGTACAGAGGATATCGAAGTTACAGAAATCCTAACTTTTATCATCAAGACTTGAGATTTTGCATCTGTGCCCTGGCACTGCAAGCTGAGAGACATGCCTTGAGTGAAGATCTTGCTGCCAAGACCCTAGTAATCAACACCAGGGAAAACAGAAAAGCTCCCATAAAGCATGTAAAGGAATTCAGAAGTCAAATTCAGAACTTGCTATTTTGGGGGTTGCCACCAGCAACTGGATTAAAGAAAAGAATCGAGTTGTCAGAGAATGGTATTTCTGTGCCTATTTTCAAAAAGTTGCTTCAGACTGCCCTGCATCTTGTTACCTATCATGCTGAAGTCATTTCTTTGTGCAGTGTGTTAGTTTTTTGCTCCTTTAACACAATTTGTCATGTTCTAGGGCACCCAGAAACATGTCAAGCATGGTTACTGACAGGTCAGTTTATGTGGAATTAATTGTCATTTAGGGGAGACTTTGCAGAGTAGCTTAGATCCTTTGAGACAGGAAATCACTAAATATAAATGCATTCTTTATATGTGTGTATATATAATACAAATATATATTTAGCTGCTCTGCTTCTGTTAGTGTTTAGTTTCTCAAAAATTTTTGTATTTATACCCTTCATAAGGACTCGTAAGTCCTCAAACTGGCACTCAGTGAACTTACGAAAGAGTTTATCTGATTTGGTTATGTATTTCAAAAAAAGAGATAGGTGCTGCTGCTTGAGGTACCTTTCAGTCTCAAGATCCAGTGAGATCTAACTTGTAAAAGGGCCAAGTGGTGGCAGTTGCAAATTATATCATGGAGAAGTCTAATCTGAATATAAAAAGATGCCATGAAATGCTTTCAAGTGTAGTAGAGTACCGGATGTTTGATTTCTTGAGGAACCTGGAATAATTAAATGTTTTTGCTGGAGGAGGAAACGTTGTGAAATTTTTATGCCATGGGGAAATTTTTTTCAATGTTACTTCTCCCAGAAAGACTTTATTAGGGAAAATGAAATGTCTATCTTAGTTCCATATGTTAAAGAAATAAGTGAGTTTACATAATCATTGCATGTCAGTACTGTAAACTAGGTAGCACATAGCAAGTATTTCTAGGTATGTTTCAGGAAAAAAGGAGTTTAATTTCTGAAAAACAAAAGACTATGTCTAATTTTAGCAATGTCCTGTGTATCATGCGTTACTAAATCGATACATGAAAATAGAGGAGGGAGGAAAAAGAAAACAAAAATTAGCAGTATTTCTGATCTCTTGAACAAAGAGAGGAAAGCGTTGAGATGTTCGAACATAGAACTTGTGTTTCTACAATAAAACCTAGGAAAACAAATGTAACTTTGCTTCATCTGTTGATTTTAAAATATAATGAGCACAGTTGATACGCAAGAAATAATTTGACTTAAAAATACATGGAAGTTGTAACCACCTAATGCTACAAGTTTGAGTGAAACTACTCTACTTTGCAGTACAGCAGTAATAAGAGAATTCTAAACAACAATTATTTTACACATTTCTTTTCAATTTTTCAGCTTTTTTTTTTCTCCTCACTGAAGAAAAAGGATAGAAAGAAATGGAGGGGAAACTGAATTTTAACTTTTTGTCCTGAAAGTTTTTTCCCTTTTTGTGCTCTTTCATTTTCAGCAATGTAACATTTTGTGTTGTATATCTCAGATCTCCTTGTTTAAAATAAACAATTTTTTAATGAGATGGTATTAAAACCTTTGAATACCACTAGGAGAGCTTGCCAGAAAAACCCTTGAGAAAATTCATAATTGTGGATTAATTGCAGGGTTTGCTTAGAATGGAGTAAATAATACATGAACCACACATTGAATGATGAGAATTAAATGAAATACTGAATTCATTCAGTAAGCTCACTCTCTCTCCAGCACAGTAAATGAGACAGAAGTTCTATAGGGATAAAAAGTCACATAAAGACCATCATAATGTATTGATATCGGGATGCCAAGTGGAGATTGCAAAACAAGCTGTACTGTTGACACTCGATTTTACTTTCAGCTTCACTTTAAAAATGCCTTGTTAAAGGGACATTGATCTTAAAAGGCTTCACTTGTGTTTACCTTTTGTTAAAAGATGTATTGTGAAGATTCATTACCCAATCTGTAAAATAGCTTAGAGGTCTTTAAATTAAAATCATTGCAGAATTCAAAATAATTTGTAGTTATGACTAATGGACTCAAGAGTCCTTTCTTACAACTTTTCACATACGCAGATCACAGACATCATACATTAGTTGAGCTGTGCTCAGGAGTTTCGCTGGGTTTTGTCCTGTTTTTACCAGGATTTATGCTCGGACATGGGAAGCGTTTTGGTTTTGATGAGGCTTTTTTGCTGTCCTTTTGCTCATGTTGTTAGTGACATACAATCTGTGATAGTTATTAACCCGTTACCTTGTGTGACTGTTGTCCACAATGCCAGCAGAGAGGAGCAGGAAGAAAATGTAAGATCAATATGCGAATGAAATGTCAGAAGTTGCACTTAACTGTTTCTTTACAGTTAAAGTCTAAAGCTATTCTTTTATAATATTCTTAAACACAGACTTTGAAAATAGTTTTGTTTGGTCTCTTTAAAGAGAGTGTTACATTCCTTTTCTAATAGTAGGGAAGAAAAGGATGTTAGGTCTTCATTGCTAGATAATATTCAAAAGCTTAATTTTTTTATTGTCATCATCTTTATAATCTTGCTGGCCAGAGCCTTCTAGGGAAAAAGAAAGAAGAGAAACAGTATTCTGACATAAACAATGTTCCAAAATGGGGAAGTCCAGTGTTCAGTATCTATTATTCAGGAAAAAAACCCTCAAAAACCTACGTATTTTGCCTTTGTTTTTAACTTTTTTAGGTCACTTTTAAGATACTTCTTATTCACTGTTAAATGTCTTGTAATATTGCAGGGGAGCAAAGGGAACGTCTTTTTCCTTTCTGAAATGTTTGTATTTCACTGTACACAAGTTGTTTAGGCATTCTGGGTATGTGGTGTTCTGTATAAAGGTACATGTGCTGGCTGGTTTTACAGGAGCTTAAAGAATTACATAATTTGCCAAGTTTTATAGAGAAAAAGATATGTCATAGTTTAAGCCTGCTGGTCTTTGATAGTGTTTCTTCAGCGTTGTTCAATTTACCTTTTCTTACACACTCTGTAACACAGGCTGATGTGTACTAATGCGGCAGTTCAAGGATTCCACAGATGCAGCATATAAAACTATTTCATCAAAGAACATAAAGCAGTTTTAGATGTATCAGTGCTCATTTTACTTCTTTTAGCAGTATTTTCTCCTACATTTACATAGGAAAGCAAACTATTCCCTGTGCTGATGATATTGCAACCCCTTCAGTTTGCATGTTTTTTTCTTTTCTTGAACAAATAAAGCCTTTGCAAAATAATGCTAACCTTTGCTCCCCTAGTGCCCTTGAGAAACTCCTTTGCAGTCATAATTCTGTATTTGAATTTGTGCATAAAGTTTAGTAATTTGAATATGAGAAACTTCTGCATAAATACTACAGTGTGAAAGTGGTGTGTCCCTCATGTTATTGTGTCTATTAATGCTTATTCAGAGTTCAAAGTGTTAAAATCTGAAAACTTGTGGTTGATTAAAGTGTAAAACAAAAGATCTTCGAACAAACAGTAAACTGTATGTCAGGTCTTGAAATAAGCCCTGTTTAAAACTGTGTTTTAACTTTTTCTACAGAGCACACCTGCAACGTCGATACCAACAGTGCAAGTACAGGGCCAGCAGATCAATTTGCAGCCGCCTTCATACACTGCAAGTCAGCACACAGAGCAAATGAAAAAACCTGGACAGAACTTCATGTGTCTGTGGCAATCTTGTAAAAAGTAAATGGCTCCTTTATTTAACTACCTTTTACTAATATGTAACAGATGCTTGTATACAGAAGGTGATTCTACAAGTTCTATCCATTCTGTTTCCTTAAGTTACCTTATACTTCATCAGTGGGGAAAAGAAAAAGTGAAGTGTTGAGGAAGCTGAAGCTGAGATGGGGAAGTGCAAGATTTTAACTGCTCTCAATTGTACTTCAGAGCATCAAATGAGTATTATGTGTTTTTCTTTTAATATATTGATTCTTCAGTAATAAATAAAATATTGTCATGTAGTTAAAAAAAAAAAAAAACAACCTAGCTCTGTTCTCTGTATTGCAAATACAAAAATAGTTATTGTACTCCAGTTACAAATCATGTCTTGACATTTTCTTAAGTTTCCAGCTTTTAATCTTTCTTGTGTTTCCAGTTTTGCAAGAGCAGGGTGTTGCACTTCTGTGTCTTGGTCTAAGTCTTATTTAGATTATGACTAATTTTAGTAATTATGATACCATTTGTGTGCCACAGGACTCCATTGTCACGAAAGGAAATAAAAAGGAACTCAGCCTTAAGACTATGCAACAATGATTAGACTTTTTTTGATTTGTTGTTGTTGTACTTAAAAGAGAGAGGAGTGAGCTAGCAGACTTTTGGATGTAGGCTTATAAAAGCATGATACTGCCCTTGTTACCAGTATGTATATTTTGACACTGATTCTTAAAATAACATAGGTTTGTGAATATGCTTAGTTTTCAGTGAAGGGTACAGATTGGTGAAACAAAGGTAGTTGTCAAATAGCCACTTTGAAAACAGTGAGAGAAATTGCATAAGGTACAGGATGGGCATGAAGAAGGGTGAGACAGCCTTGTAGGACAAGACAAAGGGAGCATAAAAATGAGCTGATTTGGCAGAAAGCTGATGTGTAGACATTCAGAAAGTTGGGATGAAATGATGGAGAGGTTCAGCTCTTTGGAACTGATGGTGAAAATGAGGCATTTGAACAGAATTAGAGGAATAATAGGACAGTTAATCTGTAGACCCTGAAGCTGTAATTTCTGTTTCTTTCATTCCTTACAAACATAATTCAAAGATCATTAAGTCAATGCAAGACACACAGATTTTAGATAGGACTCTGACTGGTACTGTAGAGATCTGGCACTTTTTAAATCACTGCCCTGTTTTCACCTTAAAAGTGATTTTTGTTTCTTTGGTAGGTGACACTTCTCTGTGTAAGAAATGCATGTAAGGCTTTACTTACTTTTTACTTTACTCCTTTACTACTAATAAATATAACTGTAGAGACGTACTCTACTGGCTGCAGAATAGATGCATAAACACCTGTGTTGGTAGAAGAATGGGTTGTACTGAGACGGAAATGAAAAGCTGGGGCAGTTTCTTAGCAGAAGCACTGCCAATTTATACCATCTTGAAGAGTTTGCTGAACTACAGTTTTGAAGCGTTAGTCACCAACTTTCTTCTGTGTCTGAAGTTACGTAGGATGAGTTGCGCAGAGTTGAGGTGACATCTAACCATGGAACAAGCTATGTCACATGTGAACTAGGATGTGAATATGTGCAGACAGATTTTGGGGCAGGAGGAGGAACAATACAATTATGATTACCTTACATTATCAGTCTTTTTGTAAGTCTTGTCTTAAAATACTGTTCCAATAAGTTTTCCTGAGACTGAAGTTAGGGGCTACAAGGCCCATATTTTGCAACATGATCTGTACATTTTATTTAAAAGGTAGTGTATTACTTCTGTTGCTTTAGTTTCTCCTGTTGTTACTTTCTATACTGGTTTTTGTTCATGGTTAAGTTTCATTATTTTCAAAAGCCTTCAGAGATTTTTACATTGATAGATTATAGTCCATGTGACACACAGCTCTTGTTCTTATGCTGTCTCTCAGTTTTAAAATATTTATTTCAGCTCCAGCCTAAAAGCAGTTTAGATAAACGTTACACTCAGCATTCTCTGTGAAGAGAGAAGCAAATTGTTAAGTTAGCATCTTCCTCAAATGTATATTTTTATTCATATTCCTTCAACAGCCTGATTAAAAACAGGAGTATCAAATCTCCTGTAAGCTTTCTGCTTCTAACAGACATAAAGAAAAATCTGGAATTGCCACCTGTTATTATAACTGCTTTATTTATAGTTCTCAATCTTAGCTGTTTTTATTGAGTTGTTTAAGCAGGAAATAAGAAGATTCTTTTGGGTGGGTCACTAGTCTGTGTGAACTTGACATCCGCTACTTGGTTTCATTCATGATTGCTTAGCAGTTTTTTTTTTTCCCCCTAGGTATTAAGCAGATGGGTTCATTGTAGTAGAATGATAGAACAGTGTTTCTTTCGTGGTGTTCACAATTAACTGGAAAGATATGACAGGAGGCAAATTTGATATACTCATTTGCGCCTGTTTCTCTATGCATGTTCTTTAGTTTAATTCTCACAACATATTGGCATTAAGTTTCCCTACCAGGATGTATTACAGAAGGCAGTGGAGGCCTTCAAAAACATTTTACTGAGAATTAGAATAAATATGGATAAATAAAATAGTATGTTCTTTTCCTTCTTGCTAACTTGGCTGCTCTCAGTCAGCAACGTTCCAGTGGCATGGGTGTGTGTTCTGCTGTTTTGGTTTTTAGAGCTGAATTAGGAAACATTATACCAAGATTTTGAAATAAAATGCAACAGATTTAGTGGTGTCTGAAGACCACAACCAGATCAGGTCCAATTATGCAAATAGTTGTAACGATTTGCCTCTCAGATGTATTCAGGTTTAGTATCTGAAGTGGAAGTAAAACTCTAAAAGGTGTCAGTCAGCACACTACTTTGCATTGAAGATGTAACAGAAAGTAGGTGTTCTCCTTTGAAGTTCAGCTGTCTGCAAGTACTGCTAATTGTATTCAGCTTAATTTAAAAGCTGCCATTTTGTTTCACAGGTAGGCAGGAGATGTCTGCTCTTGAATTGCTTTGTATTTAAAAAGTAAATTGGAAATGCTGTTGAATCTCTACTGCCTGTCAAGTCAGCTATTAGTTTAATGTTCTGTTCAGCTGCTGCTGAACAGACTGATGGAGAAATAAGTGGGAAACAAGAGCCTAGAGTCAACTGACCGTATTCTCAGTACTTAAGCTTTTTTTATTACTATGTTTAGGTGTTTCTTTAAGGAAAAATAGGTTTTCCCTGCAAAATGGTAGTAAATTCGAATCTTCTTAGATCAGTGATTGAAGTATAACACTGAATGCATTATACAGTGAATGAACCAACATAGTTGAAATAGCTTTGTTTTTCTTAAAGCTTTGCCATGTTGAATAAAATGTTTTAAACTATGCTTTGGGTTTCACTTATGCCATGAATCATCCATGCCAGGAATTATTCATAAATAGGTTTGTGCCAGGCTTAAGTTTACACACTGACTTTCCCCTTTATTGTGGAAAGACATCTCTCTGTCCTTGGAAACATCAGCTTTCACTGTTGTAGATGTAAAACATTTTATTGTCATTTCCTACTATAATCTATCTGGACCGACAGCAGGGGGCAGGTATTTCTCCTTCCCAGCTTCCCTTCAGTAAGAGCTGACTGGCATGGAAAAGATGAATGCTTTCTAAGAGAGTAGTCTTTATTGCCTGTGCAGAAGGTAATTGCTGTATTACAGATGGTTATTGCAGTAGGATTCATTTTATAACTAAGACTTGTCTCTGGGTGAAATTAGCTCTTTCACACCTTTATGGGGTTCAGGTAACAGTATCTGTACACTTAGGCCTATGTATTGATTGCAAGTATGTTTGCATAATGGACAGTATTGAAATGTGTGGAAGGAGGTGGCTGGATCAAAGCACCTACTGATCTGCTCTTCATATGCTGAGAGTTCTGACTCGAACGTGTCCATAAATGACTGCTGTAGGTTTAAGATGTTGCTTTATCTTTGGCTGCTTGCTGTAAGGCTCTGATTGGAGGTCATCTTCCTCTTGGCACTGTTCAGCCCAGGGAATTCAAACATCTTAACACAAATACTTTTCTTGTTAACTGGAACTAAAATACTGGCATGTGAACCAGAGTGGCTGAGGTGGGTGCATGCGTTTCCTCTTCCGTAAGACTGCTGCACCAGTGGCATCCATCCAGCAAGTGTGTGAAGACGGCTGGTGGTAATGATTTCCCAAATGGCAGCAGCTAGGTTTCTAGACCTCTTCTGTCCAAGCCTTAAGTGGGTGTTGATGAGCTGGGTTAGTTGTATCAAAATGAATTACAAGCAGCTAAGTCTTTTGTTTATTTTGGCCATTTTTTCTCTGTTGAAGTAAGGGATGTAATTTGTAACACTTGAGATATGTTTAAGGTGTATCTAGACTAAAAAAACCCACACTTTGAGTCATTGCTATTTTCATTTAATACTGTTTGAAATATAGTGGTTCTCCCTTACCATCTGATATGCTTAAAATATGTTGAAATAACACATCTTTTGTCTGTGTGACAATCTGAAAATACAAATTCAAGAACTGTTTAAGAACTGTTGACTCACCAGTATTTTGAGGTGGCATTCACAGTGAGTTGTAACTTTTCTGCCACTTTGAAATGGAAGAAAGCCCTTATTGGGCTGAACTCGCTATAAGGTTATGTCACACCTTAGCTCTCACCAAATAGAACATATAGAAAATACAAAATATACTGTCAAGAATATTACAGGGCCAGGCTTAGGACAACTTCATCTTTTCTATTGATGCCAAGGCACTTCATTTGCTGAAATATCTCATATCTTTTGCTTTGGGGCTGTTGGCAGGCAAAGTGCTTAATTTGAGGTTTTGGAAAGTCATTTAAAAGGTTTAAGTGAAGATGTTAAAAAAGGGTCACATAAGTGACATTTTTTTTACTTCTGTGTGCATCAGGAAATGACATCTAGCCATTTTGCTGCTACTCAGAATTCAGGTGCTAAAGAGCGCTAATTTTAGATTGATCTTTTATTCCACGAGTTTTGACAAGTGTGCGGTGTTGAGAGCAAATAGGATGGATGGTGTACATCTCTCTTTCCCAATTAAAGTATAAGTAAGGTCTGAGTATGACTGCCAGTAAAGAAAGAAAACGGGAAAAGGAATACGTGAAACCCAACTTTTTTAGCTGTTTACTACTGTATTTTGCTTGTAATGCAGAGAATGGAATTAACATGCATTATTTCTTTGGTAAAGTATAAATAGAAAAATAGAAGCATGATATTTCAATCAGATTTGGCAAAATCATATTGCCATTTATTGGTAGCTCACTGGTTATATATGTACATGTTTTTCCTTTTAAAATTTGACGACTTTTCATTTATCAATGCATGTCTCATGTCAGAAAATAAAAATGTTTAGCCAGTATGGGTTTATGTTTGTGATATTTGTCCTTTACCATTAACTGGGAAAAAAACCAACTTAAATTCCCCTCCCCCTCTTTTTGTAGGTGGTTTCAAACACCATCACAAGTTTTCTATCACGCAGCAACTGAACATGGAGGAAAAGATGTCTACCCAGGGCAGTGCTTATGGGAGGGATGTGAACCTTTCCAGCGGCAGAGGTTTTCCTTCATTACCCATTTACAGGTGCAGATTTTCTTTCACGTATTTTTTCAGAAATTTTCTGGTAAATTTGGTAAATTTTCACACACCTTTCTCACCATCTTTCTCTTTTCCCCAAACAGGATAAGCACTGTTCCAGAGATGCTTTGCTTGCAGGATTAAAGCAAGATGAACATGGACAAGCGGGAAATCAGAAGCCTTCCAATAAGTAAGAGAACTGAGCCTCATTAGCATTAGTGAAAACAAGAGGATTAGAAATTGTTGGAAGAGTCTGTGTATTTATAACTTGGCTTATCAGGTGAAACTCTGAATATGAAGAGTCTATAACAGTAATCAAATTTGAGGTCCATTACAGTAAGACAACATGGGCAAAAGAGGGAATAGGTTCTGATGGGGGAGACGTGGTTGCAGTTATCATAAAAAGAACAGGTAATTCTTTAAGGTATAGGGTCAGTACTCTGTGATGAACATTGTTCTCAACATATGCTCCTGATTTTTCCCAACTGGACAGCATTTTATAACTTTTATTGTAACAGGAAAATGCTTGTAATCCAAATGGAAAGTTATTTGTTGTGTAAAGTTCAGCTGTTTCATACAGTTGAGATGGATTGTCTTGTAACTTGCTGTATTCCTTCCAGTTTTGTGGTCTAAATTTGGGCTGATTTGATCCAGGGGCTCTTGTAATAAACTTTTCCTTTAAACAAGCAAACAGGATAAATACCAAGTCCTCTGAGTGTTCTAATTTTGTGCTGCTACCTGGAATCGGATTGGTTCTCCTCTTTCCCAAAATTATTTCAACCATCTGGAATTAATATTGGAGAGCACAACCCCGTTGCTGTGGGGTTGTGGGGATGGTTATGGTAATGTTGGAGTTATTCAGGGTTCAGTTACTTGTATAAGTGTATTAAGACTAGGTCTTTGTTAGTAACTAACTGGAATCCCTTTGTTGCATGCTAAAGATGTAATTACTTCGTCCCAGGCAGATTTTTGCAGTGTGTTCTGTGGCTAGTTAAATTGCCACCAAGCTGCTGGAGGCAGCAGAGAAAGTTGAGTATGAAAGCTGAGAAATCTAGTTTGGGAGTCCTTTTATTTTTTACTATAAACAAACTTCTTAACGCAGACTTATGATTGCTTTATGGTGCCTTGTTTCATTACACTGAACAACATTCAGACCTCTGAAAACCACAAAATGAAGAATGATGGTAATGTAGCCTTAAATATGTGCTAAGTGGGAAGCATAGGGCTGATACCATTTACAAGCATGTTGTGATCTCAACTCTGCCTTTTCAAAATTGTTCCATCACACAGATAGCACATCCAGTAGCTCTGTGTCCTCACAGGTTTCTTTAAAATTGGCGCAGGTACTCATATTAGAAAAACATGTTCATACCTCCCCTCTCCTAAGACAGAATTCCCTAATTAGGTCAGATTTGGAAAGCAGGAATTTATATGCATAACCAGTTCTTGCTGAAGTAGAGAGACTGCAATATCACAACATACTAAGGATGTGATTTCAGAATACAAGTTGAAATAAGAGCATTACACTACTCAAAGTAGGCTGTTTTGAACTTTCCCTGCCATCCCTTGTTCCTTCTTGTGGCTATATACTCTGCTTACAGGCAGAGAAACTAGCTTTAGTTTTTGTCTGATTGCATGGTAAATCAATTCTGTTTTTTTAAAAAAACCTAAACAATCAAAACAGTGGGTTTGCCGAGTGAGTGGAATACGCTTGCCTTACAGTCAGTTGAACACCAGTACGGGAGGTTGGCTGGAACAAAAGGAAGGGATGAGACCTTTCTCTGTCAGCACTCAGGACAGTTAATACACTCAGCTGTTTTATGAAATCATAGAGGTTCCCTGTCTGTTACTTTTACTTTCTTCCCTCATGTCTCCGTTACTCCTCTTTTACCAAAGAAGAAATCAACAAACAGGAATATTTTGATTATGTGTAATGTGTAACCCAATAGTCTTACAGCACTGCCACAGAGTTATGTTAGCACAACTGAAAAGGGCATCTAGCTACATGAGGGAAACAAGACTTGATAATTAGCTTTCCAGAATCAGTGACTTGTCAAATGAAACCCTAAGCTCGCTCCAACATGTTACCTCAAATTGGCTTACATGGTCATGTCGGAAAGCTGACTGACAAGGTTTTGGCTTAATTTACTTTTTGTTGAGTCCTAGAAACTTGTCAGATATATCAGCACACCACTGATAGTCCATATGACTGAACTCTTGTATGGAGCTGAAGCAACTTAAAGAACTGGTGCTGAGATGAAGCATGTATTAAGCCATCAACTTTTTGGCATTAATTAGGCCAACTTTCTTCACTTAATCCCTCACCATTTAGTAAAACTACACCTACCTCAGAGAGTGCAGATAGAGTGAGTGTTATTGGTGCTGGAAGTAAAATTGGTGGAACACAGCGTAACAAAAAAGGGCCTATTTCCCTAATCATAATTTCTGTCTATCGTAACACCATACATACTTGAAAAAATCTGTAATGGCTTTTGCTAGAACCAGGTAGGCAAAGTTAAGCTGCGTTACAGAGTTGGTTGTATACCTTACTTCTGTATTTCTTTGCTTTTTAAAATTGTATTATATTAAATCTTCCTCTTCTGGTTTTCAAAGGTAGCTGAATATTACATTCTGGAAGGTCAGGTAGCACTAGCGATTAACTGTATGTTGACTGTAGCTTTGTGCATTTGAATCTTTTCAGATTCACGTTGTTTTTTTTTTTTTTTCCTTGTTGCCACTGAAGCAAAGGTGGTAGCGTGAGCTACCAAAAATATTCTTCATGCACCATGGGAGTGGGGCAGGAGATAACTTTAAATCAGAAGATGAATGCTATGGTTTTAAGTTGATAATATAATTAAAGAAATTCAAGAAATCTAGATGTTTCTTGAGAGAGATGCTTGCCCACAGACACAAGTCAGTCCACTTGATGTCTCAGTAACTTTTTATCAACTACTTTTTTTCCAAAATCAAAAAGAGGAGGCAATCCTTTAATATCTTCCTAACTTACTGCAATTGTCCCTTTTTCAATATTTCTGGAATCAAGGCAATAGTACGTCAACTTTCTAAAATATAGTATGATAGCTGTTGAAGAGAGACATTCGGAACAGCCTCCACTGATGCATCCCTGTTCTTCTCTATATAAAGAAAAAAAAAAGTTCCAGAAGTTAAAAATTAAGATGATAATTCTTTTACTGTGGTACTCAGTCTTTGAGTCATATGTCATTGCCCAGCAGTTTCTTAATTCGGTCCCTGCCCTTCCCCTTTCATTTCATAAAGGTTTTCAAACTCTTACTTCAATTCAGGGGAGGACGACAGTGTGATTATGAGCTAGGGAGGAGTCTGTCTGTTACTGCTTCTTAATTTTCTGTTTTGTGGTTTATAAACCACTCATATGAGCCCTTTTTCTAATTTTTAACTAGGTTTCCTTGTTGTTAGAATTTCAGATTGTGAAGAAAGTCTCTCTGAATAGAGAATTCCAGTTTTATTCTTAGAATATTTACTTACAGTGAAAGATGCTTAAATAATACTCTTACAGGCTAACTTTCATTTTAAAAAATGGAACATTTACATTTGACATACGCTACCTTTGCAAGTAAGCACTACTGTATATTTCTAATATATTGAGATGTTCTAATCAGGTTCTATTAGGGTATTAAAAGACTTCATAATAATATTGTTCAATATATTGAAGTGTGGTGATATTTTTCACCATTGATACTGCAAAACTTTATGACATTGAGTCTTATTCATTAAGTGAAGTTGCATATTTATACATTCTAAACTCTAATTGTATGAATAATTTCAAAGCTTTGACTTCAGTGTTAATACTGAAAATGGAGAATTTCTTTCCACGATCTTTATTATTTGTACCAGCTTTATAAAATAGCCTGCTTAATTTATTAATCTCAGTCTGAAAGCTGCAGTAACAGGTAATTGGTTTTACAAATGTTTGATCTGATTTAACAATTAGATGTTTTACATCTTAGATTATAACTTCAGTCATGTTACTTTATCTTACTCCTCACTAACCACAGTCAATATGTATTTTATATTGTCTTAGTCTTATGGTCCCAATGAGCTCTGTGAAGTCTGAGTAGCTGTATTTTAAGGACATTCTCTGGCCAAATCTCAGATGACATTTACATAGCTACTATCACAGTTCCTGTTAAGTCCTGTCTGATAAAACATTCCTTTAAATAGGTACACTTCAGGAAGTGGCTGTGTCATTAGGACAATGTATTACTTTTCCATCACAAATGTCATGGGTGATGAGCAGTACTTCTTCAAGAGAAGTGTTTTTTCACATAAAGTCCATGACTCTTCTGAAGGCTTTGCAATAAGGTTTATCTCTGTGGAAACAAAAGGCAAATCACATACCAGCACCAAGTATTAGTAGATCTTTGTGTCACTGTTCAGATAGGTTAAAAAATTGTCAAAATAAATTTTCAGAGTTGTTAATCTTCTAGAAAGTGGTGCAAAGCTTATTTTTATTAATTCTTTCTTTACCAATGTAGGCAGCCAGCTGCAGGGGGTACTGCCTCTACTCCCAGACCACAGAAGGCCATTGTGAATCATCCGAGTGCTGCCCTAATGGCATTAAGGAGGGGATCAAGAAACCTTGTCTTCAGAGATTTCACAGTTAGTATTGTTTGACTCAAATATTAGATATTAATTGTTGCCTGCCACTGCGGGGCTTTTACTTTTTTTTTTTCTCTCTTTTGTAGGATGAAAAAGAGGGACCAATAACTAAACACATCCGATTAACAGCTGCCTTAATATTAAAAAATATTGGTAAATATTCAGAATGTGGTCGCAGGTAAGCATCATATGATTCTTCTGACACCAGTGGGCAATGTTGTTTCTGTCCTTTTGAGTACCAAACAATAGGTAGGTTTTACCTATCCTTCAAAAAAACCAATAAGTATATTGACAGTACAATTTCTCTGTCAGTTCTGCACTGTTTAGTTCCCCACACAAGTGCTCAGCATTATCTTGCCTAAGACAGTATTTGTGATCCAGACTTTTGAAATGTGTCTGGTAAATTTGACAGATTAACTTTTTGGAGACAGACAAGAGAAGCCTTTGCTGTGGGTCTGTCCCTTTTCCTCCTGAAGGCAGTACTGCATGACCCTGAAAATTAATTCCTCCGTAAGCAACTTCCCACTGGCAGTACCCTTTTAGCTCAACTTGAGAAAGGGGTGAATGAGCTCTTATGAACATTTTCTTGAGTTGCGGAGTGACACACAGTTGTATTCCGTACTTGCTGCCTCTCTGTTGCTTTCCCGTCCAAACGTGGGTTAACTCTAATAAATGACTTGGTCAGCTTTCCTCTCACTTGTAGAAGATGCTTTGGTAAGTAAACAGACCAATACTGACTTGTGGTACTAAGTAGGAAATGTTCTTTTATCATGCAGGAGTAGTAGTTACGTAGTAGTTACTTACTGTGTTAGTAATCACCATGCATGCCGCTTCTGTTTTTTCCAGGAATTTACAAGCTGAGTGTTTTCTTGGTTTTGTTTTGCATTGTTTCAGCTTCATAACAGCAGAAGTAATTAATTCTAATAAGAATCTGTTAATTTTGCCTGTTCTTCAAAAACCTGTCAATAGGGAGGAATTTCCTAGTTGTAGCTCTAAACAAGAGTTTTGGTACTGGTTGTAGAAACCCTCCTGCTGTCTTCAGCTACCTAATTGGGGGTTGTAGTGAAGACAGAGACAAACACTTCTTGGAGAGCATAGTGAAAGGGGTGAGGGGAAATGAGCAGAGGTTGCAGCAAGGGAAATTCCAATTAGATTGTGAGTAAAAAAAAATAACTGCAAGAGTTGATTGAACATGGGAACAAGCTCCCCAAAGAGGCTGTGCAGTCTCTTATCTTAGATACTCAAAACCCAACTGGATATAATTTTGAGCAACATGATCTAGCTAAGGAGTTGGCCCTGCTTTGAGCAGCAGTTGGACCACATAACTTCCAGAGGTTCCTTACAACCTGAATTAGTCATTGATTTCAGTGTTCCCAGATTTAAGAAATCTTTGAAAGTTCAGATCTTCCAAGTACAATATTCATGAAGTATTTTTGTAGGACTTTTCTAATGATTAATTCTGAAGATTCTTGTCTCTTTCAGTGTTAAAAACCCACAAAAAGTTCCATTAAGTCAAACATGGAACAAGTTTTGCTATTAACTTTACTACTGCTAGCATCCTTGAGTATTTTCCTCTGCCAGGTCCATGTAAATATGTATTGTATACATGTCACAGAAATAGAGTTCCACATATTGATAAGGTATTTGTGGGATTTTCTGTGCTGTAGTATACCCCTCTTCTATACATGTGTTGGTGTTACTCATGGGCCGTGATGGCTTGAATTTTGGTTTTGCTGTTCAAGCACTCAGTTTCTCTCACAAGATGTGAATAAGTAGATACTGAGCAAAAGAAGGCTCAGTCTCCTCTGAAAGCTTTGCCTCATTCACTCTTCTTGAATTAAAGAGCAGGGATGAAGATTATTTTTAAAGCATGTGTGTTGTGCTTTGTCCTGAGAACTGGCTGATTTCCTTAATGATTTGTGCCATAGCTGTCAGTGATCATGACAGACAATGCCCATCTCTGGGGCAGGGTCTTCCATCCTGACAGTCTGCTGGGGAACTGGGAATCCTTGTCAGAGCAGGAGTTGGTAGTGGTGGACAGAAGCTTTCTTAGTTACTAGACCGGCA